TCACCAAACTCTATTGGGATATGGGAGTGCGGGGATTCGGGAAATTATGCACTAGCCTGTCCAGGATTAAACCCGTTAGTTTGGCATTAACGACTGAGGTCATGGCGGAACAAGATGCCCTCGACGAAAAAGTCGCCGAACTGCAGATTCAACTAGGAAAATGTGAGAATCTCCGTAATTTCATTGTGTTATGTTTCCATCGTTTGAAAACATGAGCTCCGTGCTTTGTCGGCAGGTTTCCAGGAGTTGGTGGACCTGAAGAAGCAGAAAACGGGGCTTTCACTGAATCATTCCAGGCCAAGTGTCCGGGGGGGTCAGTATCCGAAAGTGCAAGAAAAAGTCCTCGAAACTCAGGATACACTGAAGAGAACCTTACAGGATTTGAACGTTTCATTACTTCGACTTAGTGAACGCAGCATGAAATCCTCGGCCATGACAGTGAAGGACTATATGCAGCTTCTTATTGACTCTGAACTCCAACAGAGAACACCTGGCTTTCAAGAAAGGCTGGAGGTCTTAAACGAAGCAAAGCTACAAGCTGAAGAAATTTGTGGAAAGGATCATTTCCCAGACCTGTGAGTCCGATTATTGGGTTTCAAGTATTTCGTACAGTAGAATGAGTCGTATGCATATCCAGGTTATAGAAGGGTTGCATGTCACTCTCTTGTAAGCAAATCAAACATTTTAAAATTGTTTTTGGGATCTATGGATAACTGTCTATAAAAGACAATACATTTTTTGTAGAAAAGAAATTGCTGAAGAATGATGTAGTGAAATATTTCCTTGGTAGGTCCATGTACTCCTGTTGCCCAGATTAGGGTTTAATTAGGATATTATTTCATCCGGTGTTTAAAAAGTCTTTCCCCATTTGTTATTGATAGCTAAAAAATTATGTTTCATTGGATGAGCCCAAGTTGTTGAACTTTGAATTTTGAAAATTAATTGAAGGATTTTTGCGAATTTGAAAAAAAATCACACTTCAGGCGCACTTCATGCTTAATGATAGCTCGCGTGTTTTAGACGCCAGCGTGCAGCCGCTATCGCTATTTCATAATTGCTCAGTTCATGAGTGTCTGCGCGAAGAGACACCATTCTATATGCCGCGTATACCGTGATTTCTTTAAAATAATAATTTTATCAGACATAATTCTTGTTGATTCGGTGGACTCAATAAAGAAAGAGACACTCATCGGTGAATGAGATTCACCAATATTAGCAAATATCTCCCGTCGCGTACTTCGGATTATCCACGTGATTTAAAACAAGTGCTTCCATCTCTTCCAGAGATTATTGCACTGGCTGGGGCAGTCGCATCAGTAAGGATGTTCAGCGCATTTTTTATCTTTAAAGTTCGAACTGATTTAGTACATAACAATATGGGTCAATTTCCTTCCAATTCAACGCATTCCTTTTAAAATCTAATAACCTGCTGAATTAAAAATCAATTGAATAAAATTCACTTTCAAATTTATTTTTAAAGTTTGACTCAGCTTGTATTTTTTAAACACTCTAGGAAATATTTCATCGAATATTTCGTACTCTTTGCAAGATCAGGAGGGGGCAGGATGAAGAAATGCAGAAGAATAGAATCGTCCCCATGAAGGAACTCTCTCGAGATGACAAACACAAAATAGCCAGATTTGTTTTGAATAATTCCTGCGGACCTCGAGATGGTTTTGGCCAGGTCTTGATTCTGGTTGGAGCCAGTGGATCAGGTCAGTCGAAAAGCACTTGGCTATGAGCAAATAACTGTATTGGAGTTTTCAGCGAGGGCATTTCCAAGCAGGAAAGAGCACGATGGTGAACGGGTTGGTGAATTTCCTCATGGGCGTGAAATGGGAAGATGATAGACGATACGAGATCGACATGACATCCGCCGTGAGTGGGGAAGAGAGTCATGCAAGTCAAACCAAATGGGTCACGGGATACACGATCAAGAGTCCGGAATACGGGATCATGACCATCGTGGACACACCTGGTTTTGCGGATACGGGAGGCATGGACACTGATGCCTTCATCCCCAAGCAGATTCGGGCCTTTTTCAAGGTCAACGGTATGAAAGAGTGAGTCCGGAATACGGGATCATGACCATCGTGGACACACCTGGTTTTGCGGATACGGGAGGCATGGACACGGATGCCTTCATCCCCAAGCAGATTCGGGCCTTTTTCAAGGTCAACGGTATGAAAGAGTTATGTGGGGTTGGGATCGTCGTCCCGGCAGCGCAGTCGAGGTTGACCCCAGCTGAAAAATACGTCTATCATTCCTGCCTGAAGATGTTCGGGAAAGATGTGACCGACAACTTCTATGTCATCTTCACCTTCTCAGATCCAAGTGAACCGCCGGCCATACGGGCCATCAAGGCGGAGAAAATTCCATATCGAGACTATTTCCAGGTGAACAATTCTGCACTGTATTCGGCCAATACATCTAAAAAGGACACGAACTTCACCAAACTCTATTGGGATATGGGAGTGCGGGGATTCGGGAAATTATGCACTAGCCTGTCCAGGATTAAACCCGTCAATCTGACATTAACGACTGAGGTCATGGCGGAACAAGATGCCCTCGACGACAAAGTCGCCGAACTGAAGATTCAACTTGAAAAATGTGAGGATCTTCGTAATTTTACAATGTTATGATTCCATCATCAGGAAGCATAAGCTTCGTGTTTTTTTTGTTAGGTTTCCAAGAGCTGATAGACCTGCAAAAACAGGAGACAGCGTTTTCGCCGGGATCAAATGTCTGGAAGAGTCTGACTCCTAAAGTGCAGGGAAAGCTTCTCGAGGCCCGATTGACACTGAAGAGAATTTTGGAGGATTTGAACAATTCATTACTTCGACTTAGCGAACGCAGCATGAAATCCTCGGCAATCACAGTGACGAATTATGTCAATTTTCTAATTGAAGCAGAACAACAACATAGAAGGCCTGGCTACAGAGAGAGGTTGCATGTCCTAAACGAAGCGAAAGAACAAGCCCAGGTGATATGTTCAACGCTTCGACCAACAAGTCCAGTGAGTTCCAAAGGATTTATCATGTTTCCTCCTGTAAGCTATGCCGGAGAATGGGAAAATTATTAATTCCCCGGTATAAGAAAAATGGAAAGATTCTTTGATCTTGCATGATTCTGTAGAATCCAAAGTTTTCGAATAACTCGAGGAATATGGGAACTTAGGTAAAATGGGTTGTAGTTAATATTCCTTGACATTGCTCGAGTTGATTGTGAAATGCAAAAAATCTGATTAGTTATCAATGCTGTTCATTTAGTACTGCTTCCTTCGTCAGTGAAACGCGGTCCTGCTCCTTGATTTGTTTGTCTTATCAGCACTTAAAGTGGCATGATCTTCCGTTTTGTGCAGTATTTGTTAGGAATTGAGGCCACGCCTTTAATCTTGCAAGTGAGCTTTGACTTTTCTCCATTATCCATGAGAGATAGTATTCAAGAGGAAATGTGTTTCTGTTGCGATCGACTTGACTGTGGTGCTTGTATTTTTATAGTCCCAGATAATTTTTGATTAGGCCATTTGGGTAATATGGGCACTCCCATCAGCATAACATAGGCATTCAAATTTTTAGTTTAATCGCATTTTAGATACCAATAGCGTTTACCAATACTGCTATATGAATATATGATGCCTAGAAGCCATTCAAGAATGTTTCACATGGTTCCATGGGTATTGTATTGCAATCGCTGAGCAGGAAGGCTCTTTTTGCCGGGAATGAATTGCCTTGAAACATTTTTTTTTTTTCATTTAGCTTTGAGGAACTCAACTTCATAGCTTTCAGTTGGATTTTTCTATTTAATGATTAGGAACTCACTTGCGTTGGAAATGAACTTGTTTTTAATGTTTGCTTATATTAACTACTTGACTGCCCGTTTTACCCTGAAACTGTCGGGAGAGTATGGGTTCATGTGGAAGGCTTCATGTTTTCATGCTTTTCTCCTTTATCATTGGAACCTGAATTTGTTTCAGAATGCGGGATTGTTCTAGAATGAGATTCTGTTACTATGGTGAAATTGTGGTTTCCCTATCCATCAAACGTTTCATATCTGAAGCTGAAAGCGTATAACTTGACTATATTCCCCCGAATACGATGTCTGCTTCACTGGTTTGTAACTCGTATTCATTCGGTGCATGTTGTAAACGTTTGACCTCACGGACCCTGGGTTCTCATTTAATCCAGGAAAAATACATAATCCAAAATTTTAAATGAGAGATGGTGTCAACCCTAAAGGGACGGAAGATATGGGTATGATGCACATACACTAAGCGCCATCTCTTCATCATATTTTTTTTTATTGATAGCTGAACTTAACCTGTAAATGCTAGGCATGACAATGAGCTGAAGCTTACTTGCTTGTCAAGATTGTGGCATTGGTACCGGATGAGATATGGGGAAGTGAGGGGAAGTAGTGGTACAGGACAATCCTCATAGAGCTATTTGGTCGTTAACGCACTTCAGTTTTTATCTCATCTCAAACGTTCTCCCTTCCAATGAGGTTAATCGAATTGATTTTTTTTCAAGCATATTTCACCTCTCCACGTGGTAAAAATGCGTTTGATAAAGCAAAGGTAATGTTGCAGAACGCGTTTGCATCCCTTTTTCCAAGTTAAGTTCTGCTTCATGAAGTACACAATTATAGAGGCCGAACGTTTTGAAAGTAGAGAAATATCGATACCGCAGGTTCCGGAAAAGAAATGGATATCCTTGAGGGAACTATCCCGAGATGAGAAGAATAAAGTGGCCCGATATGTTTTGAACGACTTCAGTGGACCTCCAAATGACTTCGGCAGGGTTTTGATCCTAGTTGGAGCCAGCGGATCAGGTCAGTCCAACCGCGAGATTACAAAGGAAGTACCTAATTAGGTGGTATCTTATGTCTTGGATGTATCCGAACCAGGGAAAAGTACGATGGTGAACGGGTTGATCAATTTCCTGCTGGGCGTGAAATGGGAGGGAGATAGACGATACGAGATCGACATGACACCCTCAATTAGCGGGGAAGAGGGTCACGCAAGTCAAACAAAATGGGTCACGGGATACACGATCATGAGCCCAGAATACGGAATCTTCACTATCGTGGACACGCCGGGTTTTGCAGATACGGGAGGCATGGACACTGATGCCTTCATCCCCAAGCAGATTCGGGCCTTTTTCAAGGTCAACGGTATGAAAGAGTTATGTGGGGTTGGGATCGTCGTCCCGGCAGCGCAGGCGAGGCTGACTCCAGCTGAAAAATACGTCTATCATTCCTGCCTGAAGATGTTCGGGAAAGATGTGACCGACAACTTCTACGTCATCTTCACCTTCTCGGACGCAAGTGAACCGCCGGCCTTGGAGGCAATCAAGGCTGAAAACATTCCGTACCGAGACTACTTCCAGGTGAACAATTCTGCCCTGTATTCGGCTAATAAGCCTAAAGAAAACACAAGCTTCAACAAACTCTATTGGGACATGGGCGTCAGAGGATTTCGCAATTTATGCACTGACCTATCCGAGATTAAACCTGTCAGCCTGGCATTGACGACTAAGGTCATTGCAGAACAAGACGCCCTTGATGACAAAGTCACCGAACTCAAGCGTCAACTTGAAACATGTCAGGATCTCCATAATTTCATCATGTTATATGTGTTTCAATTGACTGGTATCATGATGTGCTCTTACGGTTGGTTGGTAGGTTTCCAGGAACTGGTCGGTTTGCAGAAACAGGCGATGGAGCTTTCCCTGAACCATACCAGGCCAAATGTTCGGAGGAATCTGCTGCCAAAATTGCAGGAAAAGCGTTGTGAGGCTCAGTCGGCGCTGACGAACATTTTGAAAGAGTTGAACGATTCATTGCTTTGCCTTAGTGAGCGCAGCATGAAATCCTCGGCCGTGACAGTGATGGACTACATCCAACTCCTCATTGACTCGGAACTGCAAGAGCGTCAATCCAACTACAGAGAGCGGCTCCAGGTCCTGAACGAGGCAAAAAAGCTAGCCGAAATCAACTGTGGAACGAATCGACTAGGAAGGGCAGTGAGTCTCAACTAATTCTTCAAGTTTCCTCCGCTGAACAATGGGATACGTGTATTCTCTCGTTTCCTAGGATAGGAAAATGACAATCCCCCGGAGACCATCGTTCCAAAGCGCCGTGGATAGTAGCAGACAGGTAATTTCTACACATCCTTCGTCTTCGAGGTCTAGAACTGCGTATACTGGATACGACTATGGAGGTTCCGGCAGCAATATTGCCCTTCTGCTTGCTCCCTGAGCATAGCAATGCTGAGATGCCTGATTTTATTTCTTTATTTCCTACAGTGGCTTCCATGGGGAATTGTAATACCATCACCTTCATAATTGGATGCAATTTCTTATAAAAATTTTTGTTTTTCTTCATTTCCCTCCCGTCCACATGAAAGATATTGAATGACAGGGCATTACGGTACCCGTGCGGAATGATTCAGCTCTATTTCTTCCATACAGCCCCCAGTGGGAGGTCAAGTACATCTACTGGACGACAAGGTAAAAAAAATAATATGCTTCATTAATTGGAGAAGGTGAAGTAGTCGAATGTCAGGACTCTTTCATTTATTCGTTCCTCAGATGGTAAAGGCAAATAAGCTAGGCTACAAGAGGCATGAAGCCGATGAGAGTAGAGGAAGAAAAAAGGTATGAACTTAGTTTAAATTGTTCTTACGCTGCTGATGTCTATAAAATGAGTGATGATGATTCTTTTTGTAGAAATACTATTCGGAGCCGAAAAACACGAAAACGAAACGTAGCCGTCCCCTTTTCGAGTCTCACATCCGTCTGGATACTGACGACAAGAAGGGACCCGTGAAAGCTACTTATTTTGAGGAAGTCCCAGACCAGCTAGGGCAAAAGGTTAAATTCCAGATATACATATTCCTTTGAAGTGATTTGATATGTTGGTATTGCATAGTTCTTGCATTCATCCCCAGACGTCCGAGCGAAGAAAAGGAGGATTTTTCAATACTCTTAGGAACAGCTTCAGAGGCAAGAAGAAGAGGGATGCAGTCCGCTCACGTGAAACTGTAAGCATTTCCATTCTATTTCTCTGCTGTTATTCCAACCGGGCGGCGTGAGATTCCTTATTTCACCTCAGCTTCAGAATCTTGATAATGTCGGTATGGATGTCCTTATGAGTGGAAATGCTCGTGACGTTCCAACTCCAATGGTGAACCTTGCTACTTGAAAATGAGGAAGAAGGACGAGGTCCACCCATGTGTCATCAGAGAAATAAAAACGAAATGTTATAAACATTCCAGTTTCGCTTCCCAGATGTTCTCTAACTAGATCTCTTGACTTGATATGCCTGACAAGCTCAAAACCATCGAGTAGATCAGGGATAAAAAATATGAACTGGATCTAGGATTCATAGTGATATACTTTCAGAAGGTCAGTAACAATAATTGTCATTATAGGAGAAATATCCGACGCTTGAGACGGAATCAAAGCATGGCCAGGCCACGTTCCACCTCGTAGACACAACTGACAATGAGAGACCCGTGAAAGTGTCAGACCCGAATCAGAGACGGCAAAAGGTTAAATACCAGAAATATATATTTCTTCACGTTGATTTTATATATTGGTATTGGGTGGTTCTTACGTTCATCCCCAGACGTCCGAGCGAAAGAAAGGAGGATTGCTAAATACCATTAGGAGCAGCTCCAGGAGCAAGCAGAAGAGGGATGCAATCCGCTCACATGAAACTGTAAGCATTTCTGTCATATTTCTCTGCTGTTATTCCAACCAGACCGTGTGAGGCCAGTCATTCTTTTTTCCATTTCAGCCACAGCCTCAAAGAGAAAAACAGTCCAAGAAATTATTCACGTGGCCAAAGAGGAAGCCATGAAATCGGCGGCTGTTCCTTCATATGAAATCCTCCCTTTACTTTGTTTTCGTATCTTTTGTCTACTTGTCTCATGGCGCAGGAATTTATACTTATGAACTGACTTGTTCCCACGAATGTAGCCAAAGAAATGCACACATATTTCCATATTCAGTCGCTTCACACTCCCGCTCCTTCCAAGACATCAAAGATATTTGCAAAGATGTTTTCGCGAACTTTCCCTTTGCATGTATGACTAAGTTTCCAACTGATCTTTCGCTCAAATTTGTTGTGCAAAATGTTGTGCTATCAGCAATTAATGAAAGAAATTTGACATTGAGAATGGACAAGAGCTCCTGCTGGTAGTGGAACGGAGGAAACACTCAAGCACTGCTCTTCCTTGTAATCGAGACCACGTCGAGCTCTTCTTCCGTTTAAATTAACTCATGGGACTAGTTGTCTCTTGCAGATGGTTTTCATGAGCTCATTCCAAATGAATAGCAGATGATATACATGAATATCAATCCAAAGAGTTTTCTCGAAATTCACTTGGATTTTCTTTTGTTTTTTTCTTGTTATTAAAAAAAAGTTATTTTCAATTGGTTGACGTCAGAGATATAAATTCGTTTATAACTTTGATCTGAGTTAATGGCTTTTTGCAGTCTCTTTGACTTTCAAATAAATGAAAACATGCTGCAAAGTCGACAATTTTGGTTTGATATGATTTAAGCAATCATTAGATACACTCAAAGTTGTTGGTCATTTTTGGTCATACCCTGCAGACTCGGGTTGGCGTAAAACAAAGGGAAATTCTAAGAGAACGTTGAGAAAACTCTTCGGATTGATGTTTATTGATTCAACGACTACTCATTGGGAGTATGCTCATGAAAACCACCTGTAAGAGACAACCAGCCCGATGAATGAATTTAAGCGGAAGAAGAGCTCGACGTGGATTCGATGACCAGAAAGAGCAGCGCTGGAGTGTTTCCTCCGTTCCACTACCAGCAGGAGCTCTGGTCAATTCTCAATGTCTAACTTCTTTTCAATAATTGGTGATAGTATTGCTTCGGCACAACAAATTCGGATGACATTTCGTGAATCAGTTGGAAACATACTCACATATGCAAAGTGAAATTTTCACGAAACTAGCTCTGGTTTGAGCGAAGATATTTATGACAAAAGTCGTCGATCATTATTTGCCATACCCTGTAGAACGCCAGGCACATTTGGGTTAAGTTTCGTTTTCACGTCATCAATGACTAGATGCACGAATCAAAAGGCTTCTCCTCAGAGACATCGATGGGGAAGCCATGGAAAGCTCCTCAACTAGAAAAACATGCAGGACGACAGCGATTGAATTCACGGATCCTACCAGCTTCTCGCCTCCCTCCCCTCTTTCCTTCTCTTCTTCCCCATCTTATCTTTTAAGCATTCGGAGTTTCCCTCTGCCTTCATGATGATGACGAGCCCCTCCAGCCCATTCTGTTTTTGACGCTGTTTCAAGCTTCAAGAGGGAACGTGTTGGATCAGGTGGGATGACAATTTCCCTTGGGAGTGTAGTCAGCGTAGGTAGGACGTGAGGGATAGAACGTCAACAAGAAGAGAACGATTACAGCACGCCTGAATGACCATAGTTGAAGATGCAGAGGAAATCCTGTTTGGATGCATGAGGTAGCTTGGTAAATAAATTACTCCGAGGATCCTATGTTGGAGGGAGCTGATAGCAATGTGAACGATCTGTGTGCCATACTACACTCCTAAAAATTTCCAGTGTAATGCTTGAACACCCTCTGACCGATACGAATCCGAACAGAATTTCTAATTTATATCTGTGGACTTCCAAGTCACAAGGCGGGAATCTCCGAATCATCAACCCGGGGAAAAGTTCTGGCATAGGCTAGAGATATGGAATTCCAGAGTTATCACCCAGAAATTTTAATGGTATTTTTTTTCAGCCGGAAGGACTAGGCAGAAGGCGTGGAAATTACGAAGGGGAGTCAATAAATAGGGGGAATTTAAGTACAGCTTCAAAAAAGTTTATACCAGAAACATGAACATACACTATTTTTCAATTTAATCACATCCTACCTCAATACATTTATTCCAGCGACTGACAAGCCTTCTGATTCCATCAGAGAAAAAAGTTTTGGTAAAAGAGCGTAGTCAATTACGCACCGCATTTTGAACGTCTGTATCATCCCTGAACTTGCGCCTCCGTTGTTTTCTGAATCGTTTCTGAATAGTTTACACCACTTGTACGCATTTTTCGATGATAAACAACTACCCCCATACTGTGCACACTTTCCACGGTAAATTTCACTCGGTTTAACTCTTTCTGAGAGTAAAAATAGAAAGACACTTCGCTGTTCAACGGCGGTACAATCTGAAAGCGGGGTCGCCATTTTAAAAACTGACTAGCGACAATGTTGCCAACTTTATATCGCGGAAACTACGAGTACTACATATTCAGAGATGCAGTAGTGAGGGTATGCGGTAATCAGTACATAATGGGTACATAATAAATAAATTCGAATAGCACAGTACCTTTGCCAAGGAATATTGAATGACTCAGAGAAGATCTGCAGATCAATTTGAGTTTCCCAATCTCATGCTGTATCTCTTGAGGCCGATCCGCACCGATTTCTAGACGTGCTTGATGATTACTTGCTTTTCATGTGAGCATATGGCTGTGATTGGAGGCGATCAATGGAAGGTCTACTTTTCCAAAAAAATTATTCGAAGCCATGGGAAGTAGGGTGACGAAAATGGCGTAGTTTTATACAAGTACTGTCAGAAGATTTACTGCGTCAGACACCCTAAATGCCACTGTGGCTTCGATAACTGCTGGAATGTGAAAACATTGAGAAAGCAGAAAAATTCAAAGTAATCCAAAAGTTTTTTTTTTGTTTCAATTTCTCAGGCTTCATTCATTTGCTTATTCTTACGAACAAAATAACTTTTTTTTCAACAGCCAGTCAGCGAGAAAAGTCATATTTCTTCCCCGGCGTTTTAGCCAACTTTCGAAAATCTATTTATTGTGCTATTTCTTCGCGCGGATACCAATGGAAGAGCTGTACACGCAATGGCGAATGAGACCTGTGAGCCGTTTGGTTGTGGAGTGATCATCAGCCAAAGACGAGACCCGAGTAAAAGAAGATGTGAAGAATTCAATGTATTGAGGAGTAGTTTTAATTATAAATAAATACATCTGGAAACGGCCCTAAGGCAAGGAAAATGAATTACTGGGGCAATTTCGTTGTGGTAGAAACGTATTTGTCTTCAGCTTCAATGTTCGTCCCTAGTTTGAGGTTTCCGTGGAATTTGAATTTCTTCAGAGAGGCATTCTCGTCTAGTTCAAGAGCATTCAAGCGAATTGATAAGGGCCCGTCTGAGCTCCCCTAGATTGCAGGTCTGGTTTCGAGATTATTTCCACAGAGACTCGCTGTAGATAAGCCAGGGCAGAACGTGTGTGCACCTTTGTATTCGTTCCTTCCATGATCTTGAAGAGGACTACATCTCGGTCACAGACAAAGACGCAGAAGGAGCCAGGTACTGTTCTCAAGTAGACAAGTGAGCATTAAATTTTCACTTATAAGTTTTCCTGTAAACTTCTCACGTTTATTCACAACCTTTTCAGTTCTTTCGTGCGATTTGTGCCCCTTGTGCAGCGGTGGAAGCGGATGCGTGGACTCCGTCTCGATCTGCCTATTCTACAAAAACCTTTTTTTAAATACGGGTTCTACTTGATTTTTTCTAAGGTCGCAAGACAACCTGTGCCTGTAACGACACAGATTGTCTCACATTGCCCCTTTTGCCCCGTCAACAGTCAACAGTCCCTTATCGCTATCAACTTTTTCTCACAATCAACAATTGACTCACGAGAGGAAGTTTCGCCTCTGCCTTTCTTTTGAACTTGAAAGAGCATTTACAAGTTGGACGATATCAAAACTGTGTTTAGTCGGAATAGTGATCGCATCTAGAAGTGTCTTGAACCTTAGCCACGAATGACTTTACCTCTCAAGCGGAGAGAATCCGAAGAGCGCGTCAGATACGCATTATAGATGCATACTTTTTTTTTCTTTGAGCGACACTTTTTTCCCACTTTATTCGTGCATGAGTGTCGGAATCGGAGTCGATCGATGCATATGCTGTTACCACGCGGCCTCCAGGCTCCTAAAGCACAAAGAATAACGATAGCGACTGTGTGACATTCCGAGAGTTCGTGTAGTGGTTATTCGAAGAACTCTTTGAGAGATGCCCCTCGCACGTCTGGCAACCATCACAGATGAACGAGGCCTGGCACTTCACCGTGATTCGGGAAATCCGTTCCTACCTTACTGCGGTCAGCACTGCATTCTCAAAGTTTACCAGACGAACTTGGACTTGCTTGGGAGACTTCCCAACATATCGTTTTCCTGATGCATCGTCAAAGGTCAAAGGTCACTGGATAGACCTCTCTCCGACCAGCTCCTCGTCGCAACCACGGTCCCTTCTTTAGGTTCTCCATGCGGTCGCGTTGAGAAATTTAATTCCACATAATATAGTGTGAAGATCTCACCTTTTCCTCATTTGGTGACGATGATGACGTGTGCTTTCAGTAACATCAGATGACAAATCCATGAACATGAAAAGTAGACAGGAATGAGTCAAAATGTTTCCATCTCACGCCTTACGTTCAACATTTCCCTTGTTTCAGCAGTAACAGCCGTTGCCCTGGTGGAGCCCGCAGAAAATGCAATTAGAATGAAACTGCAACATGGATCTTTGTTTGCACTTTATGGATTAATCGAATAGATTTGAACTTTACCATGACAGTAAAGAATTACATTCGGTTTCTCATAGATGCAGAACTCCATGAGAGATGGAGTTATTTCAGAAAAGGTTCAATATCCTGAATGGAGCATAGCAACAAGCTAACACCTTTTGGAACGGATTCTTTCCTGGACGAGCGAGCCCTTTCATTCCATTTACGTATTACGTGTTTACTAGCTGAAACCTCAGCAATTTCAGCTAGTGTCGTCGCTTCGATCCTCCTAAACCAAGGCCTGATGCCCTGATTAAATGACCGTATGGTACGATACAACACAGAAATCAGCTGCGCGAGAGAGAGAGAGAAACAAAATGGGCAAACAGGCTCCCCCACACAACTCCGAAGGTACCACATTTGAAACGCACTCAGCTCCGCTCCAATAGGATTCATTCCCATTCATTCTCACCACTACCGCACTCCCCGGACAACGTCGGTTCCGCTCCTGTGGGTGTCCCGTGGGTCATACATAACTCGCGCCCCTCAATATGAACCCCAAATATCTCAAGAGGGGAAAGGTCAATCAAAAAGCGGACTTCAATTGTGAATTCAGTGGGATTGATAACTCCTAAAAATAAATTAACCGAATTTATTTTTTTTTTATGAAAAAAGACCCTGGTGACCCAAAGCGGCTTAAGCAACACTTATATATGGGCTCATTAGTAATATAGATATGGTAGAGTCCCTTGCATATCCAGGGTTAAGGGTGCCTGGAAAGGCAAAGATCATGTTTTCGAATGCATTTTCGCCACTCCTTTCAATAAGAATGTGCTTCAATAACCTATTTTATTTTATATTTCGAATTCTTTGTGATACAAGGATGTGGAAGAATGCGAAGCAACTGGTTCCAAAGAATGAAAAGGTCTCCATGAAAGAAATTTCTCAAGATGATAAGCACAAAGTGGCTAGATATACCTTGAATAATTCTTGTGGACCTCAAGATGGCTTCGGGAGAGTCTTGCTCCTGGTCGGAGCTAGCGGATCAGGTCAGTCCAATCACTAGATTATGAAGAAAAAAAATTGTATGGAATCTTTCAGCACCAGTGTGTCCAAACAGGGAAGAGCACGATGGTGAATGGGTTGGTGAATTTCCTCATGGGCGTGAAATGGCAAGATGACCGACGATTCGAGATAGACATGACATCCACTGTGAGTGGGGAGGAGAGTTATGCAAGTCAAACCAAATGGGTCACGGGATACACGCTCAAGAGTCCAGAGCACGGAATCATGACCATCGTGGACACACCTGGTTTTGCGGATACAGGAGGCATGGACACGGATGCCTTCATCCCCAAGCAGATTCGGGCCTTTTTCAAGGTCAACGGTATGAAAGAGTTATGTGGGGTTGGGATCGTCGTCCCGGCAGCGCAGTCGAGGTTGACCCCAGCTGAAAAATACGTCTATCATTCCTGCCTGAGGATGTTCGGGAAAGATGTGACCGACAACTTCTATGTCATCTTCACCTTCTCGGATCCAAGTGAACCGCCGGCCTTACAGGCCATCAAGGCGGAGAACATTCCATATCGAGACTATTTCCAGGTGAACAATTCTGCACTGTATTCGGCCAATACATCTAAAAAGGACACGATCTTCACCAAACTCTATTGGGATATGGGAGTGCGGGGATTCGGGAAATTATGCACTAGTCTGTCCAGGATTAAACCCGTTAGTTTGGCATTAACGACTGAAGTCATGGCGGAACAAGATGCCCTCGACGACAAAGTCTCCAAACTCAAGCTTCAACTTCAGAAGAGTCAGACCTCGATTATTTCCGTCGAAAGAACTGTCATCGTCTGTTAATTTAATATACTCTGGTTTTTCGGCAGTTTTCCAGGAGTTGGTGGATCTGCAGAATCAGGAGGCGGACCTTTCATTGAACCATTACAGGCCGAATGTCCTGAAGAGTCGGCATTCGAAAGTACAAGAAAAGCTCCACGATGCTCAGCTGACGCTGAACAGAACCTTAAAGGAATTGAACGATTCATTACTTCGACTTAGCGAACGCAGTATGAAATCCTCGGCCATGACAGTGATGGACTACATCCAGCTCCACATCGACGCAGAACATCAAGAGAGAAAACCTGGCTTTCAAGAGAGGCTCAAGGTCCTGATTGAAGCAAAGTTACAAGCAGAAAAAATTTGTGGAACAGAGGGTTTCCCAGAACAGTGAGTCCAGTCATTCCGTTTTTTTGTATTTGTATTATGAGTGTTTTGAATATCCAGGTTATAGATGTTTTGGAAAAGGCGGGAGCCAAATTAGGACACGGTTCAACCCGATGCGTTAAAATATTCTATGCCAATTTGTCTCTGATAACAACAAAGATATGTTTCATCAGATTGGCCCAAGTTGTAGAAATATGAATGAGGAAAGAAAATGGATGGTTTTGCCGTATTCGAGAGAAATCCCCACTCTGGTCACGCTTATGCTAGAAGTGGATTGTTCGTTCTCGACGTAAGCGTTCAGCCGTTATCGTCATTCCATAATTGTTCAACCCATAACCAGTTTGCCATAGAGAAATCCGGCCAAAATGTCGGATGACATAATGGCTGAGATCTCCTGGATGGAATATAGAATGGGCTTCCTATTTGACAGATACGGAACTGGAAAGTACAAATATATGGTTTTGAATTTTCAACTGTATGCTTTAAAAAAAATTAAGGAATGACGTCAAGTAGGAAACAAAGGAACTCGGGAAAGATTTTAGCCACACTTCCAGCACGGAATCCCTTTACGTGATTAGCTCTACCAGATAGTGCCCTCCACTGCTCTGTGTCTCGTGTCACGAGTCATAGAGGAAATGAAACCTTTCTCTTCATTAGAGACTGGCATTATCTTAGCTTTGGCCTAAGGCATTTATTCGGCTTGTGGATCATTATAGTTGTTTCACGACTCTTAATCCCATGTTATGCATCTTGTCTGGTGATGAATTGTGGTTAATTGGGTATTCAAGTTCACTCAGGAACGAGTTCCATTCCATGCGGGATAAGGTGTACACAGAACGAATCATAAATTGTCGCAGGCAAGTTAGAACAAGTCACTTCTGCTCTTTATGCCTCCTCAACCCTAATCCATTAAAAATCGTGAGTTGGGTTAGCCTTAATACCAGGTGACTCAAAAAGTTCCAAAATTCACAAGCCGATAACGAAATATACGATAACGATAGATGATAACGAACGGAAGTGATCATAAATAACGGGAGTTGGTGATACTGCGAGCATTTCAGCAGAATTAATTCTTGGTATTTCACAAAGATACCTTGCATAGAGTTTCATCCGTAGTCGTGTGAAGTCGTGAACTTCAGGGTCACCCGGTGCCTCATTCAATGTGTGTAGGTGGTTAAAATGTGTTATTCGAGACGTTGTTGGTTCTACGTGGACGGAATGGTAATGTCTAGTGGTGCGAATGCAAGACTCAACCTGGAAAGGGTTGTCATAACAGAAGGAGTGAAATAAATGAGAATGATTTAATGCTGGAAGTAAATCTCTTGAGGCAGGATGGTTTTACGAGATGTATGGATTAATTTCCCCGAACAGATCGATGGAGCATCTCATATTAGGTGGAATAGCTTGAAGGGGGACCCGAGAAGGTCTCTATTTACGGCGCGGGTGGGATTTAAAAAAAAAATGTATTTCCCATTCATCCAGTCCAACCTGATTCCTTGCCATTTTCCCATCGACGCGATATGAAAGGACTGAGATCTCCCTGCAGGCAAATGCACAAATATTGGCGCCTCCACTTTAGAAGCCAGCAGCAGACGATAAAAGCCGATTGCGACCATTTCTTCCTTCCAACATCGGTTCCTGTACCGTTAGATTCATGAGTAATGAGCCTAAATTTGTTAAGAGAAAAAAAATTATATGCTCTCTCCACTTTTGATTCGTGCGAAAACATTTTCAGATGAATGCATGAGTAAAGAATACCATGCAATTTTCTCCGAGCTATGCACGCTTGTAAAACATTTCCCGAGGAACAAATCGGATAAGTGTTAAAGATGGTCTGCTCAAAGAAACTGCATATTTACAGTAATCTCGATTTTTTTACAAAGTAATTTTCTCTAACATAATTCTTGAGAATTTGGTGAACTCATCAAAGAAAGAGACTCACCGCTGAAAAAAAACTTACCAATATTTCAAGATCTCACCTTTCGCATTTGGTGGCTTTAAGGATTATCATCTTGACTTGAAACAAGTGTTTCCTCCTCTTCAAGGAGCTCACTGCACCAGCTGAGGCGGACATATCAGCAAGGTTGTCCGGAGCATTGTTTAACTTTAACACCTTTGAGCACTATTGACGTCTATACGCGGCACGTTATTCAACAGATCTACGAAAACTCAGCAGTGAAAGGGTTGAAGTTTTGAACTGTTTAGCACGTGACACAATGGGTTGATTTCCTTCCAGTTCAATGCAAATTTTTTCGCATCTACCCACATGCTGAGTTTAAAAGAATTTGACCAATCGAATGAAATTTACTATATTATTTTTATTTAAAATCTGGCACAATTTGTTGTTTCTAAAAAAAAAAACCTGTAAAAAAGATTTTAGCTAACATTTCTAACTCTTTGTAAGAAAAGGATGAGGAAGAATGCAGAACTGCAGAACAGAATCGTCCCCATGATGGAACTCTCTCGAGATGACAGACACAAAATAGCCAGATATATTTTGAACAATTCCTGTGGATCGCGAGATGGTTTCGGCCGGGTCTTGATTCTGGTTGGAGCCAGTGGATCAGGTCAGTCGAAAAGTACTTGGTTATGAGCACATAACTGTATTGGTGTTTTCAGCGAGGGTATTTCCAAGCAGGAAAGAGCACGATGGTGAACGGGTTGGTGAATTTCCTCATGGGCGTGAAATGGGAAGATGATAGACGGTACGAGATCGACATGACATCCGCCGTGAGTGGGGAAGAGAGTCATGCAAGTCAAACCAAATGGGTCACTGGATACACGATCAAGAGTCCGGAATACGGGATCATGACCATCGTGGACACACCTGGTTTTGCGGATACGGGAGGCATGGACACGGATGCCTTCATCCCCAAGCAGATTCGGGCCTTTTTCAAGGTCAACGGTATGAAAGAGTTATGTGGGGTTGGGATCGTCGTCCCGGCAGCGCAGTCGAGGTTGACCCCAGCTGAAAAATACGTCTATCATTCCTGCCTGAGGATGTTCGGGAAAGATGTGACCGACAACTTCTTTATCGTCTTCACCTTCTCGGACTCAGGTGAACCGCCGGCCTTACAGGCCATCAAGGCGGAGAACATTCCATATCGAGACTATTTCCAGGTGAACAATTCTGCACTGTATTCGGCCAATATATCTAAAAAGGACACGAGCTTCACCAAACTCTATTGGGATATGGGAGTGCGGGGATTCGGGAAATTATGCACTAGCCTGTCCAGGATTAAACCCGTTAGTTTGGCATTAACGACTGAGGTCATGGCGGAACAAGATGCCCTCGACGAAAAAGTCTCCAAACTCAAGCTTCAACTTCAGAAGAGTCAGACCTCGATTATTTCCGTCGAAAGAACTATCATTGTCTGTTACTTTAATGTACTCTGTGGTTTTTCGGCAGTTTTCCAGGAGTTGGTGGATCTGCAGAATCAGGAGACGGACCTTTCACTGAATCATTACAGGCCAAGTGCCCGGAGGAGTCGGTATCCAAAAGTGAATGAAAATCTCCGTGAGGCTCAGGAGACACTGAACAGAACCTTAAAGGAATTGAACGATTCATTACTTCGACTTAGCGAACGCAGTATGAAATCCTCGGCCATGACAGTGATAGATTACATTCAGCTACTCATTGACGCAGAACTCCAAGTGAGAAATCCTGGCTTTCAAGGAAGGCTCAATGTCCTAAACGCAGCAAAACTACAAGCTGAAGAAATTTGTGGAGAGAATCGTTTCGCAGACACGTGAGTCCGGTTATTTTCTTTTAAGCATATAGTTGCCAGGGGTAAGTGGGACCCCTGGGAAGTTGCCCTATTCTCACAGTACTCACGTAATAAGCTGTCTTCCACAATATATCCCACTCCCAATTGTCAAGCATTTTTTAAACTCTGGAGAATAATTTCCTATCATGGCAAGCAACACTGACGCAAGAGTGCATGGCATTTATTTTGACCTAGACCGAGGTGTTTCAAAGTGGGATTTTTGTAGAAGTTCATGTTCATCCGAAGGCTCATAAACCTTATCACTAAACCTATTGTTTGAGTGAAGGATTCTTTTGCTTATACTTGATTCATGAGGGGGACTAACTTGACCCAGCTAAATTGAGCACGTGGGGCAGGTGGGCTCCCTCTGGGGTAAGTGCGAACCTCTATCATCTGGGGTATGAGGAAAAAATACTAATGACTTTTAACCTAATATCTCGCTCATGCTGCAGTCATTTGCGCGAAACTTGCCCGATGCATATGTGATTGATTATTTTTCCTACGGATGTTCTCAATGGCATCTGAATGCGTTATTTTTATGTTGTGCTATCAGTAATTGTTGAAAATAAGTTAAAAATTGAGTTTGCACACGAGCTCCTGCTGGTCATGAAGCGGAAGGAAGACTAGAGCGCCATCCTTCCTATTCATCCACGTCGAATTTCACTTCCATTTAATTGTATTCCTTCGACTGGTCATCTCTTGCATATGGTTTTCATGAACTTATTCTCAATGAATCCCAGCTGAATCAATGAATATTCAAACCGATTTTTTTTCCTTCAAAGTTCATTCAGAATTCTTGGTGTTTTGAAGGAAGTGGAAGGATGTCTTGTCTATTTTAAATTTCAGACTTGTCCTAGAATATGTTCATATTCTAGGACAATGATATGTTCATATCATTGGCTGAGATGTTCCCAAGAGACTTTCAAAATTTTGTAAAAATAAATTAAACAAAAGCAGGGCCATGAGCAGTTAGTGAAAATAACATGCATATAGAAAATGGACAAGAGCCGAGCGCTGGAGTTTATTCAGAGTTTGCTCTTAGCCTCATTTGTTTTTTTTTGCTAGAAGCATATGCTTTCCGTAAGTTCTCTTCAAAAGAGGCAAAAAAAAACAAGACTTTAAGTACGTATCTAAAAAGTTTAGTAATGACTTCGCAATTTGCTGACTGGAAAGGAGACAAATAATTATATGGTATAGCTGAAACTGTGAACTTGAACATGTTTATATTGAACAAACATTCAAGGTAGTATATAATGATTTTTTCTGTCCAAGGTGAAAGGCCATGGTAGGTTCATTGTTGAAGCATCTACACCAAATGTAAGTTACACTATTGGAAAAATGGAGTCCCACTTACCCCAAGGAAATATATTTTCATTTGTAGAAAGAGTCGTTTGCGTATCCACGTGTTTAAACAATGCCTGAAAAGCTGTAACAGTATTGTGGAATGTATTTCTGTCGCACTTTTAACCTAATCCGGGTTTAACTTTAACCCTAATCCGGACAAGGGCAAAAATTGTAAGAATTTTTCCTTTCAAAGCAAATCAAAACTTTACAAATTCGTTTTTAGATCCATGGAAAACTGTCCATGAAAGACCTTAAATTTGCAGAAAATTCAACATTTCTTTTAGTTGACTAAAAATGGCTCGCACGTTCTCGGCGCAAGCGTGCAGCCGTTACGGCCGTTCCAAAACTGCTCCGTTGATGATGGTCTGCTTGAAGCGCCCCCACTCTTGCCGTAACCATGATTTTTATAAAGTGTTTTTGTCTATCATCGGATGAGTATTTGGAATGTCGTAATGAAGCTTCCTCGCTCACGTTAGATCGGATCATACCCCTATTATGTACCTTTTTGTACCGTATACCTCGAGTGCTCCAGGCCTTTTCCTTTCGAGGGTCTGAGTCAAAGGGGTAGTTGGGTCGGATGATAGGAATATCGGCTCACTTGCTGACAGTCTGCCAGGATTCTCGGCACCACTAATTGTCCCGTTCGTTTAAATATATTTTCCAAAATGAATGTATCTTACCGTACCTCGTGTGAAAGGGAAGAAAGAGAGTGTGTAAATAAACACGATAGTTAATAAATACAATGATACTTAATCTGCAAATTCATTTTATTAACTCGTAAATTCATTTGGGGACGAGACAAGAAATGCAAATCTCGGCCTTTTCTGGGATGTACCCCTAAGTACAACCCAGTTACCTGACGCTTCAATTTCATCCAAATTCCCCTCTTCTTCACTTTCAATAGACGACTTCTCTTCGTCCTCGCTGCTAGAGACTGGACTAGGTGTTCGTTTCTTGGTCTGGGCCAAGTTCCTTGGTCTTCTTGCCTCCTACTCCCTTCTGCTAATTCTTCTCCGCGTTTTCCAGCCTTCGCTTTTTCCATTCATCCTTTACTTGTTCTCGTATCAATTTCTCTTTGCTTTCTGTTCGAAGAAGCGCTGCCACTTTTTGCTTGTTATGTTAAAGAGGGCCTCCCTTTGGGCATCTGAGCCTGGAACCGATTTCACGGTCTTATTTTTTGAATTGATGTAGAACGCGACAATTGGGTCAAGACAATTGGGTCAATTAGGACAAGTCTTTTAATATATATTCACATGCTGAGTTTTTTCAAAAGTGGGCCAATCGAATAAAATTTTTGATGAAACATTGTTTAAAATTGTGGATCTTTTCTTTAAAAGCGCTTTTAATCCTTATCCGGGCAAGGTACTTTTCGTGATACAAACGGGCAAGGCCAAACATTTTTTGAAATTTTTCATTTAAAGCAAATCCAAACTTTAAAAATTAGTTTTTGAATCTATGGATAACTGTCTATGAAACCCATATCAAATTTGAAGAATATTTTGAAAAAATTGCGGAGGGTAATGAAATGAAATATACCCAAGGGGGGTCCAATGGACCACCCTTGGGTATATTTCATAATGGACACCCCTTGCCCGGATAAGGGTTAAAGAAATATTTCATCGTACATTTCGTACTCTTTGCAAGATCAGGAGGTGGGAAAATGCAGAACTGCAGAAGAATAGAATCGTCCCCATGAAGGAACTCTCTCGAGATGACAGACACAAAATAGCCAGATATATTTTGAACAATTCCTGTGGATCGCGAGATGGTTTCGGCCGGGTCTTGATTCTGGTTGGAGCCAGTGGATCAGGTCAGTCGAAAAGCACTTGGTTATGAGCAAATAACTGTATTGGAGTTTTCAGCGAGGGCATTTCCAAGCAGGAAAGAGCACGATGGTGAACGGGTTGGTGAATTTCCTCATGGGCGTGAAATGGGAAGATGATAGACGGTACGAGATCGACATGACATCCGCCGTGAGTGGGGAAGAAAGTCATGCAAGTCAAACCAAATGGGTCACTGGATACACGATCAGGAGTCCGGAATACGGGATCATGACCATCGTGGACACACCTGGTTTTGCGGATACGGGAGGCATGGACACTGATGCCTTCATCCCCAAGCAGATTCGGGCCTTTTTCAAGGTCAACGGTATGAAAGAG